CTGAAAAGGTGAACTATCTTACAACAATGTGAAAGTTTGTGTGAAGTATTAAAAATGCTATTAAAAACAAGCAAATTTTGTTGTGACTGGCATAATTTACAGAAATGTACATATATGTATACAGTGCGTCCCAGAAAAAACGAAACCGAAAATTATCGATGTTTTATCATAACTTAGTCACATTTATAATTAATAAATGACACATATTTGGAAAGCTTAGACCCTCCTCTTTCATTTGATGCAACTCATATGATGCATAGTTCACTCATGAGTGATTGAAATTAATTTGAAGAGAGGAAATCAAAAGGTCTTATGGCGGACGGTATCTGAATTTCAAAGAGTAAATCACATTTCTAGAAAGTTGAGATTCTGCTCTTTCATATGACGTTTCAATCAGGAAAATGAGCAAGGAATAACAAAGTTCTGTTTGTTTAAAGTAGTGCTTGAATTTCCATAATTGTATTAATCGAACTCGTTTCACTGGCTGCCTGCCGTAGCAACAAACGGAATTTACAAAAGACATAACTCCGTTTCTTTGATAATCAGCCGAAGACGAAAAACTTCATGCACGGGTGATTGTCAAAGAACCTTTTGCTGATTTAGATTGTAAATAATGATAAGAATGTTAATTACATGAATAAACAGATCCTCAATCTTAAGATTTTACATGTAAACGATGTTGTAAGATCTGTAACATAATGGTAATACAGCAGAATTATATTGCGTTCGTTTATGTGCATTACGTGAAAGGATGTACTAGCAGAAGATATACAAGAGCAGGGGAAGGTATGTGGCTCATGAAAGTGAGAGTGATAAAGCGAATGGAGTAGAGAGAGAGAGAGGATGGGAGAAAAGGGGAGGTACAAAGAGAGAAAGGAAGAGAGAGAGAGATATGGAGAGAGAGTGAGAGCAGGGAATGGAATGATCATAATTAAATAAACATATTATTCCTTATTACATGTAATACATGAATGACAATTAAGAGAGTCAGATTTCGGCGAGACAACAATAATCATCATACCAGTACACGCTACAGGAGAGAAAAGGGAAGGTTAAAAGAAAAAAAGAAGGATAGAAGTTTGAAGAGAGAGAAAGAGGGAGAGAGAGATGGGTCGTTTGTTGTGAATGTCGAGTATGCCGAGGACAGTCAATGACCCGATGCTGGTTGGTTAATTGTCCATGTACAGAAATAATTTGGGTCACATTGTTTTAAAGTCGTTTCAAAATTACAGTAAGTTCATTGGCTGCATAATATATCTCTTTCAAAAAGTGTTTGAACTAACCATAACAATCCCATTTTCATTCAAATTGTATTTAAAATGTCTTGATTTGTAACTGTCCCTTATCACCTGCACATGTAGGTAATGAGAGACCTTTGGTGCTGACGTAATAAATCATTGTTATCTTATTATTCAGTAACATCATGCCCACAATTTTGTTACCAAATAAAGAGAAGAAGTTACTGAAGAGAATACAAAACTTTCTGTATGTGTAACATTTTTCATGTTTATGTAAATGTAAGGGTCTCCAATTCCCTGTACCTACCCTACTCCTCCACATTATGATACATTAAGTGAAATTTAGCCATCAAAATCTTTGACGAAATTGGGATCCCAACACTTTGATTGCCAATTATCTAACCGATTTTCTAACAGATTTTAATTTCAATGTATAGCGTTAACGGAAAAAATAACAACAACATCAACACCAACTACTACTACTACTACTACTACTACTACTACTACTACCAATACACAGTAAAAACGCTGTTTAAAAAAGTGATGTTCACTTACAGTTGTACACTATCTTAAACAACAGTTGAACAAATTGTAAACAATGTTGCTCGAAACGAAAATAATTTTTTTAAACATTCGTTGTTTAAAATTTAATGACTGCTATATTTACTATACGAGAGCTTTTAGACAGTGTTGTTTACATATGACGTCAAGTGTCTCGTGCCAGTAAAGTGCGCGCTGGCTAAAAGCTTTATTTCACATTGTTATGTTTAGAAACAGGTTCCTTGAAACTAACATGCAATTGAAATTAACATGCCACTTAGAAATGCAGTGCAGCTGTTCAGGCACAGCTCATTGTTATTCATATTAGATGCATACACACAATGCAAGTATATGAAAGGGTCTTCTGTTGACTACACATATTGATACATATGTAAAAGCACATGGACATTGAGTCTGGATTAAACTACCAAAGCAACCACACGTGTTTCTGCAGGCTCCATTTTGTTTGTCTCTATACTTAATATTTAGCTTAATAGTTTTTACTTTCCAACCCACAACACAACACACATCATGGCCGACCAAGCTACCGACGCGCTTCTAAGTGACTGGGGATTCAATGGCTTAATTGAAATCACTTTTCTATTAACCAATTTGAAGTTTTTAACTTATAGCGTAAGTTCACAGTAACAATTTTCAGTATCTGTACGCAAATGTCAGAATATAGGTAGACTTAAAATCGTCGCGTCATGCAGTGTGGCACTGATCGCGCACTCGGTTATAACGTGTGCTAAATTCCTTGCCATAGAGATTGCATGCATTCCTATATATGCAGTTTATACGTGCGTGCATGCGCGCTCATGCAAAATGGGCACTGTTTTGGCGTTAATTCATGAATTGCAGAATTACCCTACCGTATTGTTAGTCTTCATATACCTATATAGAGACCCAGAAGTAGTGGTGCACTTATTCAGAGTATCAAACCCAAATTATACCCCATTATACAACCCTTTTGTTGTAAACAACCCCCACTGAACAAGAGCTCCTTTTTAAACAACTTTCTTTAAACAACCCAGTTGGTGTAAACAACCCCCCACTGAACAACAACTCCTTTTTAAACGGCTTTTTTTTAAACAACCCAGTTGGTGTAAACAATCCCCACTGAACAACAGCTCCTTTTTAAACAATTTTCTTTAAACAACCCAGTTGGTGTAAACAACCTCCCCCCCCCCCCCCCCCTGAACAACAGCCCCTATTTAAACAACTTTCTTTAAACAACCCAGTTGGTGTAACCAATCCCCACTGAACAACAGCTCCGTTTTAAACAACCGTCTTTAAACAACATCGGTTGTTTAAATTGTGATTTTAAACAAGTTGTTCAAAATGTTGATCAACTAAGTGTTTAAACTTTTAACAACTCGAGTTGCTTAACATTTTAAACAACTCTTAGATCAGGTCACCCGTTAATCAAGAGTTGTTTAAAATTTTAAACAACTTGTTCACAAAAATTTTAACTGTGTACTGCTACTACTGCTACTACTACTACTACTACTACTAATACTACAATACTACTACTACTAATACTACTAGTACTGATGTTGTTGCTGCCATGCGCCAAAAAGAGAGAGAGAATAAAAAAGAGAAAGGGAAAGAGGAGAGAAGGGAAGAAAGAAGAGGAAGCAGAAAAGAAAAGGGTGAAAGAAGGAGAATCGGAGGCCGAAAGGGTCTTCCCCCCCCCCCAGCAAAAAAAAAGAGAGAAGGAAGGAAGGGAAGGGAAAGGGAAGAGGAGAGAAAGGGAAAGGGGAAAAAAGAGGAAGAAGAAAGGTGGGAGAGATCAGTGGCCCTTTCTCCCCCCCCCCCCCCCCCTCTGTAAAAAGAGAGAGGGGAAAGAAAGAGAAAGGGAAAGAAAATATAGAGGAAGAAGAAAAGAAAAGGGGGACAATAAGGACAGATTATTTGCGATTTTTATCGCTTCTAATATCATCATTGTACTATAATTATACAAATGTATTTATTTATTTGTTTGTTTATTCCTGCTTGATAACAATAATATGAATATAAACTCGCAACAAATTCAATTGCAGAAGAAAACTATTTTGCAGGCAGAGAGAAACGCGAAAATGATCATGCATTTGCATGTAAGTGTATCATTAGAATTATTCATATTGTTTTATCACATCTTGTAAAATAGTATGCATTTAAGCTTTCGGAACTTTTGTGTGTATTTGTATGAAAGAAAGCGTTTGGAACTTATAATGCGATGATGCAATTTCAGGTGCAATTAACTGCAGTTGCACCCCCCCCCCCCCCCCAATAAAATTTAAGCATGGTGTATTTCTGATTGGATAATACTTCTTTATGCGTTTGTTGGAAAATGACATATTCCGAAATTTGCAGTCAGTCAAGAAATATGCTTATTTAGGGGCCATAATTTAATGCTTAAAACCCCTAAGCTTACGGGGACTCTGCCCCCTGGACCCCACGCCATTATTAACGACCTACCAGTGTCACAAATAAGGTATCAAAGTATGTTCATCTGACCCCCCCCCCCCCCCCCCCACTCAGTGTGATTTAGGGCACGCATATGCGTGTTCGCTCCTTTTGAAAACACCCCCTAAGTCCGGTGTGTAAAGTAATTTTTGTGTATGTACGAGCCGGACTTTGGTGCGTGAAAAGTACCCCTTTACCGGACATTTTGGTAACACGCATGCGGTCATTCCGACCCCGGAGTGGGGGGGGGGGCGGGATCTGACCGTAGTTAAATGCTTATAACCCCTAAGCTTCCGGGGGCTCTACCCCCTGGACGCTAGGACCCTAAGGCGGGGCCCTGGATGCTCATCTGACCGTAACTTCATGCTTAAAACCCTTAAGCTTTCGGGGCTCCGCCCCTTGACCCCCCGCCGGGTCTTGGGCTTAAAATCCACGCTACGCTCTACTTGATCGTAAACACTTTAGCCTCCTCCCACCCACTTTAAGAAACGTTCAGCAGGGCCTGCATGGAAGAGTGGTGGTGGTGCGGATTTTTTTCTGCCCTCCCCCCCCCCCCAAACGATTTTGCTCATTACGCCACTGCTTTAGTGGTCACCATTACGTACTAACATTTGGCACGCACAATTTCAAATTTGGCCCCCCCCCCCCCCTAAGAAATCCTGGATCCGCGCTTGGTTGCTGCTACTACTACTACAACTTTAAATACATACTGTACTACTAAATTCTGCTACTACTAAAAACTGCTACTACAACTATACTACTAGTACTATTACTACAACTACTACTATCACTTTCATTACCGAAAACAGCACACGTACTTCTAGATTCCTGCACTACTCGTTTGGGATCAAATCATTCGTCCTTAGATTAATGGTCAGACTTTTGGTCAATTCATCCCAGAAATATTCTTGTCCTCTCACGTTCTCAGTCCAGTGAAGATAGGGTCTGCCATCACTGAGATACAACCGCGCCAAGAATGGCATTTCATCACCTGGGATGTCTTCGAGGAAAACCACGACTACGAACTCCGTCAGAGTGTCACTCACGTGGTCCATGGCCGTACGGAACTTGAGTATAAACCAGTGGTCGAGCACAGCAGCTCTGCTAAGCACTATGATGGTCTTGTAACTATGGCTCACCACGTAATCGACGGAATCTAAGTAATGCATACCCAACACAAGGTCTTCGTCACCAAAGACGTTCCTCTGAAACTGTGGAAGCCGTTCTTCGAGAGCTGGTCGGAGCTGTTCGCGAATCCATTCTTCGTCATCGTCATAGAAAATGATGTTCACGTCAAATTCGTAATCATTGTGGTCTCGAGCGTCTCGCATCTCTTTATAGCCCAGTGCGGCCAGTTTCAAGAGAAAGAGTTTGTACCTCAACTGCCATCGGTGGTGATACAACAGCACGCTGATTACAACCAAGCTAATGGATACGAGGGGAATCAGAGAGTAAAGACCATACTTTATTATACAGAGTTCATTTGGATCAAAGTCAAGCAGGGGTTTCTCACGAAGAGGCTCCAGAGATGCTGACGAACAGATAGTTTTGTCTTTGTTATTCAGGCGTATATTAGGTTCATTTAACCAATCAATAAGCCACTTTAGATCACAGTTACAATCAATTAGGTTCATTGATAGATCAAGTGAAGAAATAGAGAAAAATATCGGCTTGAAAGTGCTTTGATTAAGGCGTGTTAATCTATTGTTGGCCAATGAAAGATTTGTGAGTTTCCAGTTGTTTGAGAACATTATCTCCTCCAAGTACTCGATACGGTTTCCTTCCAAGTTGATACTTTGTATTTGACCCAACCCCGACAATACATCATCATGAATATGCTGGATGTTGTTTCCTTTCAAACTCAACGTCTCAAGCGATTCCAAGCCCGAGAAGACAAGAGGATATAGATTTGTAATATCGCAGTAGTCTAATTTTAGCTCTTGTAAAACAGAGAGTTTCCGGAATAAACCTGAAATTACTAAATGCAGGAATTCGAAGTCGTTACTACTCAAATCCAAATGATTAAGATGCAATAATCCATCGAAAAGAGACTCGTTTCTATATGCACTCCATATGTTCCATATGTCAAGCCCAGAGTCTTTCATGTCTAATTTAACTAGGGATTGTAAATGTTGAAACGATTTTCCTGGTAGCAAAGGAAGCGAATCTGAACGGAGAGAGTTTAGGGAAAGTGATCTTAATATTGGGGTGTACAATTTCAGAACAGTTAAACGACTTCCGGTCAAATTAATGCTTTGAATATTGTCAAGTCCCGAAAAGGCCGTCAGCTCAAAGACAGAAAGGAGTTCGTTCCGGCTCATGTCTAAGAAAGTTAAATTTCTTAAACCGCGAAATACAGATTCAGATATTTCTCTAAACAGATTACCGGATAAGTCAAACTCCGACAAGTCTACTGTCCAAATCTGATTGTGAGTATTTATTTGTCTTACTTTGTTGTCGTTGATTGCCAGTACTTTTAATGCATTCATGCCGTCGAAAAAATCTGGTTGAACTTCGTCTATGGGGAGTTTGTTATCACTGAACCTGAAGTTTCTGACTTTTGTCAAATTTGAGAAGACTAAAGGATGGAGGCTAGTCAGATTGTTGCCGTTGAATTCCAGAACAGAGAGAGAAGAATCGCTCAGAGGATCAAAGAAACCTTTAGGAAACGCACCAACAGAACAATACTCGATTTTAAGCAGTTTGATGTCTGATTTTGAAATTCCGAGGATGATGTTCGCCAACACCTCGTCACTAAAACGGTAGCCACCTAGCATCAAAGATCGAACATGTAGTGATGCGATCACATCAGGGTCTACTGATTTTATAGGGTTATATCTAAGATCTAGAGTATCAGTAAGGCACAGAAATGTGAAATCTTTTGCCGTAAGGTTGTGTAGTTTATTTCCTCTCATGTCTACAGTGTCGGCCATGCCACAAGAACTTAGATTAATGAAGGAAAGCTGGTTGAAGGAAAGATCTGCATAATATAGATGTGGAATCCACTTTAGAATGTCATTGGGGAGCGATGTCGTGTATAATGCCGCTAAATCGAGAATGGAAAGCTGTGAAGACATCATGAAGACTCCTGTCGCTGGAAGCACAAGACGCGGGTTAAAGGATAGATCCAGGTACATTAAGCCCATGAGGGGGTAAAAAGCGGCGGATTCTATCGCTCTTACATCGTTTAAAGAAATTTCCAAGGATTTAATTAGAGGGTATACTTCAAACGAGGAGTTCAAGAGTTTGGTGATATTGTTGTCAGACAAGACAAGCATCTCGGTATCCTCAGAAAGATTCTGGGGAACAGTGTCCAGGCCTTTATGGCTGCAAACAGCTTCTTTCAGTTCAAGGTTTTGATCGCATCCATGGAAAGATTTGTCCACGTCCAGTGTTAAGGATGGCATAGCCGAATCTACATCGTGTCGATGTAAAGATTGAAAGGACGAGCTGACGAGGAGACAAGCGACGAGCAATGGGTACAAAATTGAGCCGTTTGCCATGACTTCAATATATCACCTCAGAAAAAGGAAAGGTACACCTCCGTCAGATGATAATATATCGCTCTTGATTATATGCTAACACAAGCTCATAGAAGCACAAATTGTGATCCTTTGCTGCAGACGGTCAGCCTCGTTTTGAGCTGTGAAAAGGCACTCGGATTTCTTTTACCTAAAATATTGTGGTTATCATATTTTTAACTAGTAATTAAAACTAAAATTTAGGTTCGGGAAACAATTATGAATGTTCTCAGACGAAACTAAAAGTCATATTGCAATTACACGATATCATATTTTTAACTAGTAATCAAAACTAAAAATAAAGGTTCGGAAAAAAATAATGAATGTTTTCAGATGAAACCGAAAGTCATATTTCATTTTTGAGACATATAACCAGTAATAAAATCACACGCGAGAGGATCAACGTATCTACACAGGGCATTGTACTTTCACTGAAGATTTTCCAAAAGCGCACTGACAATGACAATGACAATGACAATGACAATTTATTCTCATGTCACCCACATTGGGGTATTGGAGAAGTTTACAATCAGTTTGAATTTGTCAATTAAACACTGTGAAATATACAATACAAATAGAATTAATGTTAATCCATACAAAATAACACTATCAACAATAGTGAGAAAAATTATGATGATAATGATAATAACAATATTGATGATGATAATGATAATAATAATCAAAAACAAAACGATAATTAATGACGAAATTAATGGAAGCAATTGAAAAAGAAATTTACTGGCACCAGTAAATTAATATCTGAATTAATGAATTCCTGAAAATATTCTTGATATCAATTTAATAAATTGATATAACACAAAAAAGAAAAACATGAAGTTAATATTGAACTCATAACATGTTCTTGCACATACTTAAATTAATGAAAACGAAGCATTTTTTTTCGTCAGAATTTTACTAAGTTTAAACGTGTTTGTACATTATTGGAGATAAAAAGCTGATCCATTTTCAGTGTATTAGGTCTTTCAATAAAACATTTATCAATGAACAATTTTCTTTCTGAACGAAGGGTAGGGCATACAAACAAGTAATGAAACTCATCCCCAAGCGATTGCAAATTACACAGCGTACATAGCCTCATTTCCCTTGGAGTCTTTGAATATCTACCAGCTACAATCGGCAGGTAATGATTGCCACAGCGAAAACGACTTAATATTGTCCGATCTCTTTTAATGAGATCGATTAAGTATCTTTCTAAACATAAAGAATGTTTGAAGCTTCGATAGTTAACACAATGCGAATTATCGTACATACAAGCAGACCAATACTGAGCATGAGAATCTCTCAATCGACGTTCCACAATTGTTTGACCCACTCATAGCTAGTATTTTCACATATTTCCCATAAATTAGACATCCCCATATTGTTCAGAGTCAGCTTGATTTTTTTAAACCAAGGTGCCTGATATATATTCTTCCCAAAGAGTAATTTTAAGATAATATTCACCTTACCAGAAAATTTATCCTGTCCACTGACAATGACAATGACAATGACAATGACAATTTATTCTCATGTCACCCACATTGTGGTATTGGAGAAGGTTACAATCAGTTTGAATTTGTCAATTAAACACTGTGAAATATACAATACAATACAAATAGAATTGATATTAATCCATACAGAATAACACTATCGACAATAGTGAGAAAAATTATGATGATAATGATAATAACAATATTGATGATAATAATAATAATAATAATCAAAAACAAAACGATAATATTAATTAAAACGATAATTAATGACGAAATTAATGGAAGCAATTGAAAAAGAAATTTACTGGCACCAGTAAATTGATATCTGAGTTAATGAATTACTGAAAATATTCTTGATATCAATTTAATAAATTGATATAACACAAAAAAGAGAAACATAAAGTTAATATTAAACTCATTACATGTTCTTGCACATACTTAAATTAATGAAAACGAAGCATTATTTTTCGACAGAATTTTACTAAGTTTAAACGTGTTTGTACATTATTGGAGTTAAAAAGCTGACCCATTTTTAGTGTATTTGGTCTTTCAATAAAATATTTATCAATGAACAATTTTCTTTCTGAACGAAAGGTAGGGCATACAAACAAGTAATGAAACTCATCCCCAAGTGATTGCAAATTGCACAGCGTACATAGCCTCATTTCCCTTGGAGTATTTGAATATCTACCAGCTACAATCGGCAGGTAATGATTGCCACAGCGAAAACGACTTAATATTGTCCGATCTCTTTTAATGAGATCGATTAAGTATCTTTCTAAACATAAAGAATGTTTGAAGATTCGATAGTTAACACAATGCGAATTATCGTACACCCACAACAAAAAGTGAGTCACCCTTACTCAAATTGATGAGTCACTGGTTTGTCCGTACAGCGAAACACTTGAAGGATCATGTGAGTCACTATGACTCGATACAAATGAGTCTTATTTATCTAAGAGACTCATTTGTATCGAGTCATAGTGACTCACATGATCCTTCAAGTGTTTCGCTGTACGGACAAACCAGTGACTCATCAATTTGAGTAAGGGTGACTCACTTTTTGTTGTGGTTGCATCATGACATAGACCCCCCTACTCCCTAGGCCTATCACACACATACCATACCATGCCAGAGTCACTGTCCACATTTGCAATGGAAAATATATCCTAAAATATCATATTTTAGCGATGTAATCGGTGGTCCCGCTACCCGAATCTGAAAAATCTACTTTGTACGCACTAAATTAAGCCTTAACTTGAGATTTATTTGTCACCCATACTGTCACGAAACAATCTTGAATTAATTCGTTTTACATCAAATAACAAGGATCTAGGAGTTTCGTTGTATAAAACAATGATGCAAGATCATGCATGTTTTCATTCGACACGGCTTCGTGCGATACAGTAGAATCTATATAGTTAAGTTACACACAGCCTCATCAACTCGAGTGCGGATATCGTAAAATGAACGCATGCATCATTTGTATAATTATCAGAAGATTCAGCCCACGAATCCAGTCATAAAAATCATCGTTTAAAACCATATGAATAATTATGCGTACCAATTTTTCACTAGCTGCAGTCAAAACTCTTCTGAATCCAAGATATAAGATGGCGACGTCGCGTCGTCGATCGGGAATTCAAATATGGCTCGAGAATGCGCATTTTGGATGACGTCACGAAAGCATGCGCGCGCATGCATACAGCCTCACTTTCAAGTTGACTCACTTTTTTCTTCTAAAATGCTCTTATGTCGATCTTGACTCATTTTTTACGACCATGTGAGTCAGTCGAAGCATTTTGCAAATGCGTCAGCTCATGATTGACACACTGGTGAAATATAAATGAGTCAATAGAGACTCATTGGTTGTTACTAATGAGTCAATTTACACCTGACTCACGAAAATTATGCTTAAATGTGTCAAATGACTCACTTTTTGTTGTGGGTGTACATATGGAAACGTTGTATCATCCGCTCAATCTGACTTGCGTGCATAGAACAATGAGCATTTTTCCATTAAAAAGTGAAGTTTTCTAAAATGTGCGTTTGTTTCCAGCATTGGGGCGTCCGGAAGTCACTCGGGTAACATTTCATAAAGTATAATATAAAAAGACTATATGCAAATTTTCTGTACTTTTGTCGGAAAAAATACATTTATCCAGCACAATGTCGTCTCTTTTTGCGTTGGAGAAGAGCAAATAGCGAGTTTCAATCACACTTTGGCCGCTCTCGCAAGCTCTCACTCGTTTCACTGTGGTCAAGAGACTTTGGGGCAAGCGGTTAATGAAAATACTAATCGATAGCTTTCTTCTGGTATCAAACTTATTTTGATTGATTGTATAATTTTGTCGGAATAAAGGAAACAAAAATGCTCGACCAACAACTCATCAGCGTCTGAATTGACCTTTTGACCTTGAATTCCCTGATGCAAGCGCACTAATGACGTGATCTTTGCTAAATCGGTGTCTTTTATCGTAACATGCGACACTTCACAATGTTATACATCTTTTTTTAATTATTAGTAAGATATGACATATTTTTTCTGATATCACTGAAGTTTTGGGTTTCATTTAATGAGTAATTTTAAAATAAGAGCCATTTTATTGTTTTAATTTACTGGATCGTACCATTAAAGTTGCAGGGTAGAAAGATGCATTTTCCAACCGCGCCAAATTTAATTTACGTTCCGACATTATGTTAAATGGGTTCGTGTTGTTAAGAATCCACTGCTTTCTGCTCCAACAAACGTCCACATGCGGAGTCGTTTATCAACTAAATTATTCAAATTTATGGATGCTTCCTAGCTTCCCAGGTGTTTGTGTGGTGACACGACATTTGCTCCTGCGACAATTGCTCCGGGCTTTATTTCGTCTAAGATGTAGGGTTAGGGTTAGGGTTTCAATAGGGTTTTATGTTAGGTTTAGGGTTAGGTTTAGGGTAGGGTATAGTGTTGAATCCAGGGTTGAAGTTAGCCATTCGATTAGTGTATGAAATTTACAGCGGAGCAATTGTCGCCGGAGCAAATGTCATGGAATCGTTTGTGTTGCTGTTGAAGCATTTCATTCACCTGCTATCATTCTTTGTACTCCAATTGCCAGAACGCAAATTTCATTTTGGTTTTATAGCTTCATCGGAGTCGTTTATCATATATATGTATTCAAATTTATGAGTGCTTCCTCCCCAGGTGTTTGTGGTGTTTATGCATTTCATTCACCTGTTATTATTCTTTGTACTCCAATTGTTAGAATACAAAATGCATTTTGGTTATATAGTTTCATGCAATAAGTAAGTCAATAAAAGAGTATGTTCTGCACAATAAAAACAATGTGTGTCTCTTTTGTACAATGTAATGTGTCCCCTCATTTTGTAATAGTTAATTTACCCATTCACATAATGGAACTACCTGCCCGATGAAGCCATTGGCCTGTGACCCCTGAGCACTCAACACCGTGTGGGAGTCAGTTCGTGCTCATATTCTTTTATGAG